TACAGAGTGCCCACCGATAAACCAGAAAGCAATTTCACAGAGACAAGATGATTTTTATTTAAGACTTGAGGTTTTCACAGCGGTGAGTATGAAGATTTCCGTCTTCTGGGTTGTTGATGAATCGCCCTGATGACGGAGGAAGTGTGACCTCTGAAACGATGGTTAACATCGACCAGACTACACAGCGCAACAACCCAGAAGACAGAAAGCTTCATGCTCTGATGACGGAGGCAGTATGACCTCTGAAACGATGGTTAACATCGACCAGACTACACAGCGCAACAACCCAGAAGACAGAAAGCTTCATGCTCTGATGACGGAGGCAGTATGACCTCTGAAACGATGGTTAACATCGACCAGACTACACAGCGCAACAACCCAGAAGACAGAAAGCTTCATGCTCTGATGACGGAGGCAGTATGACCTCTGAAACGATGGTTAACATCGACCAGACTACACAGCGCCACAACCCAGAAGACGGAAATCTTCATGATTTTTATTGTTTTTATAGAGACATGCTCCACTCGTATAGGGAAAATCCGTCCAAGTAGTTCTCGAGTAGAAATCGAACGGACAGACATCACCAGGTCATCATTGTGATTTCGCTTTATGCGCGTAATAAAATTTTCCTTGGGAGAAAAAAAAATGTTCCGAGAGAAATCCTGAAATGTTCTATTTAATGTCTGATTGCTATCATTTGAACCAGCCCCGGACATTAACTGGTCCATGCACGTGCAATCTTCTAGAACCCGCTCGCCCAATCACGGTACCACGTGACAGGATCTACCAGACCAATGGCGATCTTCCGTGTTATGAGATCGTGCCGACACAATCTGGTGCTGTGATGCTGTGAACCAGTCCTGATATTAATAACAGTTTAGCCAGGCAGCTTCTCGGGGGGGGGGGACAGTACAAGGCCCGAGAAGAGACCGCCATACTCCATGGAGTTAACAGCAATTTCGGATGATCACAGTTTCAGGGATACAATTAAGACAATTAGCTCTCATACGAAGTATCTTGAAGATGAAGATATCCGTCTTCTGGGTTATTGCGCCGTGTAGTCTGGTCGATGTTAACCAACGTTTCAGAGGTCATACTGCCTCCATCATCAGGGCGATTCATCTGAAACGTTGGTTAACATCGACCAGACTACACAGCGCAACAACCCAGAAGATGGAAATCTTCATACTCACCGCTGTGAGAACCTCAAGTCTTACATATCTTAAAGATATTCACGCAGAGGAAGACCCTAACTGTCCACGATAAATAAAACAGGCCATGTTCATCACATGATACTGTATCGCCGAACTTTAAAGACGAGTGGTTAGCACTTCAGCTTCGTAACCGGAAGCTCCCAGGTTCAAATCTCGGAACGAGACCGGCTATTCTAAGGTTTTTGTAGTTTGCCAAAGTTCCCCTCAGGCACCGGAAGTAAACAATATTTGCCTAATATCAGGCTAATTATTATTCAAGGCATATTATCGATCAGGGATATAGCACCTTCTCGTAGAAGTTTACCAACGTTTCGGAGGTCCTTACTTCCTACATCATCAGGGTGACTTCATTGCAGCAAGGACCACAGCGATACTTAAGTACAGTCGTAAAGCTACCAATTAGACTGTAAAATTCTGTTAACACTTGCCTAAAACGTGGAACGCTGAGATACTCTGTTATTACGGAGTAATGCGAGTCATATAACTGGAGAGGCGAGACACAATTTTGGCAACATCGTTTAAAGACGTAGGAACGGTGGGTGACATTTAAAAAAAAAGGGGGGGGGGGGGGGGGGTGAGCAGACGAGAAAAGCCCCTAGTCTGACGAACTCTTAGCAGCTGCGAACGCGTAAGGGGGGAGAAGGTCTTCCTGAGTTTTATCAGACGGCCGTCGGTGTTACCAACAAATCTCAAAACATTTACCTTCCAAATAAGAAATTGCCCTCTTACACCGAGGACACGTTTTGACACAGCGAACCAGAGAAGAAATGGATTTAAAGGTGAAGTAGGGATTGGTTAGATTTGCAAGTCCCGGTAGGTCTGCAGATACGAGACTTTTTTTAAAAGAAAAAAAAAACATTAGCCACAAAAGTGATTCGCTGTGGCCACTTATAATTTCTCGTTCAGGTCTCGACGTATTAGAAACGAACTGAGTCAGAACAATGAACCAACATTGAAGCTTCTGTCCGCCACGATCGCCCGACCTCACAACCGGAGATTTTCATTAACTGGGGTAAAGTCAAGGACGACGTATTTATGTTCCTCCTGTCACAGTCCTTACAGGAACTGGAATGCGATTCACTGGATCTTATTAGTAAATATAATCAAGATTGAGAAGACATGGACACAGTACATTGCCTTAAAACCTGAATGAAAGACAAAAATTGAAAGAACTAGACGTAAATGTGAGAAAATGGGGTGTTAACACGACCGGGGTTCGATCCCCGACGGGGGCAGAGGATTTTTCCTCTAGCCTCTGCGTCTCTGGGGCCCACCCAGCCTCCTCTACAATGGGAACCGGGGTCCTTTCCCGGGGGTAAAGCCGGCCGGGGCGTAATGCCGACCACTGATCCCATCTAGTGCCGAGGTCAAGGAAGAGAGGAGCTATACCTCCACTCCCCCCCCCCCAAGCGCCTACATGGCGTATAGTGGGACAAACTTTACTTTTACATTTTGGGGTGTCAACAGGGTTCTTGTAGATAACTGTCTTCTGGAATGTTTTGCCGTGTAATTTGAAGTAGTCTGTACCGCCTCCATCATGAAGGTGACGACTGAGTTTGTCCCAAAGTTATTATAGGACGCAATTAAACATCGAATTTCTCGACACGGCGCATAACCTCAGAAACTTTCAATACCCATGGCCCAGAAAATATTATTTTCCTCCCCGACACAGACCCTGACTTTATTCGAAGAATTTTTATAACCACAAGTTGATCATCCATAAACCACAAGCTCATGGGGGCTACTTGGTCCTTGGATGCGGTGAAATACGACGTAACCGCGAGTACACCAAAAAGTCACTTCCTGTCTTGTATATCTCGTCGCTAACTTCCGGTACACGAGTCCCTCTAAAAACCCAAACAATGTTCGCTTTAGAAGTTATTTGTGACAACGTCATTTCCACAAAACTTGAGAGATTTCTAAGAAGCGTACCGAAAACAAGAGACCAGCCCTTCCTCCTAACACAATAAAGCTATCAGCTGCAGTCTTACGAAGCAAATACTCCCAACTGATGAAATACATTTGTTATCTTTAACGAAACGTTGTAATGCATTTAGGCCAATGACAGCTGTAAAATGTGGGTGTTGCATTTATGATTATTTTTATGCGGGTAAAGAAAAGTAATTAACATCGTCCCACTATACGCCATGCAGGCGCTTGGTGGGGGGGGGAGAGACAGTATAGCTCAACTCCTACATTTCGCTACATTAAAATATCCTAAAAAAATACGATTTAAATTTATTCAAAAAAAAAATACAAATAATATTTCGTAGGATTTGTGGTTGTCACCAGGACATCAACTACCACGCAAATACGTAAACACGAGAAGGGTACCTTTTTATTAAAGCCTTATATGCGTCTACAATAATTCTTAAAAACGAATTCGTAAAAATTTAATGTATGGACACGTAATTAGAGCTGGTTCCTACATAAACATTTTATTATTTAGTGTTCTGTCTGACGACAGGTCCATATGAACAGGATCCTTCCATCCTTTTCTCGGACTGGGACCTGTTCATATACGTTCTTGGCAGATGATCCAGAAGTGGTTTGCCATTGCCTTCTTCTGTGTGTGAATGGAGTAATTGTTGGGATGCCACGGAGGAAAACTCCGTGTTGCCTAGACCACGGCCTTGCCCAACACAAGTTATAAATTCGAACCCGAGACCCCAGGATTACAAGGCCAGCGTTCTAACCGCTAGACCACCGTGGTATTTCACTATTTAAAAAATGTTTACACGTGCCTTATATATCTCGTAGCAAAAACTGCCTTCGTAAATTTTTCTTAGTTTAAAAGCTCATTTCGTGTCTTTGCTCACTGTATCAACACAATGCATTAATATCTTTCATAAACGAAAAATTATTTTGGTACTGTTATCAATTTTAGTAACGATTAATTAATTAAACTTTGGGTGTCATACAAGACAGATAATGTGTTGATCACTTGAACGACTATCAGCTTCTCAAGGACGACTCTGTGGTTTAATTGAGTATATATCAGTTCAATCCTCCTTCTCCCCCTGTCAGATAAACTGAAATTGCGATATAAATTTGGCTTCAAACATTCATTTCAAATGCGAAATATGAATTACAGTCGTTAGCATTTGCATCCTTAAGGTTGCTTCGTGTCTCAATGCCGAAATCATGGATCTACTAGAGCGGGAGCGAAGTTTATAATAAGAACAGACGGTAACTCCTACTTACAAGTGAATGAGAAACAAAGTGGGCGGTCGGTTAAGTCCCTGTAATTTGGAACGTGAGGTGAACAGACAGAGAACAGCCCCTAGGGGCTAACACGCAGAAACTCCAGTTGACCGCCAACTTCTAACTTGCATATTACTTTAATGTTTAATGATTTCCCTCAGTTCCTTCGGAATACACAACCTGACAACCTGGTTCGACGTCTTCTTGCACAATGTATTTCAAAGCAATAAATACGCCATTAAACATCCTGTGCTTAAACCATGACGCGGAAAATATTTTCCAGGAATTAAAATAAATAGAATCGCAATCAATCTAGTCTGGTACTGAATGAATTTTTTAATAAACGTCTCATTAGCATTAGGGTCGTATTTGGATCAATTATAGGCTGTAAAATGATTCGTCAATGACGAATATCCCAAGGCGTGCCATCGGAATTGAAGTCAGTAATCACATCGTGGTTTTCAGATAAAAACCATTTTTTTGGCTCGGAATTTATTCGGAGTTAGATTTAGACATTTCACAGTAAGTTATAACTAACTAACTAACTAACCAGCGTATCGCTAACGAGCAGTACACACTTACGTAATGTTTGAGGTGTAGAGTTCATTCCCCCGAAACGGCAAATCACGTGATCAGCCTCTCGCAAACAGATTCAACACGTTGAATTTTCTGTAACAAAGAAATTTAAACAGCATTCAGAATTTCTTATGTTAAAATCCATAAATCTAAGTTTCTAATTCCGTAAAACTACGGGTTCAACAACATTTCAGATTCCTTTCTGAAGAAGGGTTCGGACGAAACGTATTTCGTCAGTCTAGCATGTATTGTCACTGCTTCCAGTATCCACCAATCACGCTTCTTGGTTTCTTTTTCTCGATCTTATATCGCAGCGATATATATCGAGACGGTACATCGATATCCATCCGCCTACGAGTCCACGCAGCGTTACAATCCCAGGTGCTTCTCGTGGAATGCGAGAGACCTACTGACCGTGGAGGTCGCTGTGTGCGGATGCAGTTTGGACCGAGGCCAAAGTGAGTTGTAGCAAACTTAAAGATGCTCAGGGCAATCTTCAGAATCCGTGTCACATTTCACAATGCAGACTCCCTCGCCTTCTTCCTTACGCCAACCACACGGGAAGACGTTCCAGTCTCTAGAAGCTCCTTTCTTTCATCCTGTTACAGATAACTTTCCAACAGTGCCGTCCTTGCGACAATACAATCCACTAAATAATTATACATAACCTACATTCAAATCGATTAGTTTGCTTTATATAACTGCAAAATCGATTCTCTCATTTGTTCGTCTTCATAATTGAAAATTTAACGATGTTACAGTCAACTTTATAAATGCATCTAACTTGGTTACAATAAAATGTTACTAAATAACAAAGATATGATAAAACTGTACAACTTTCTAGAAACAATTAGTTACAATATGGACAGAACAAAGTACTGTCAAGAGAATTAGGTCCTACTTCAAGATCAGAAACATTTCTTCAAGAACCACACATCAATTGACCGCAAACAGGAACACGACAAGCTATTTATCAATCTGGTTGATGTTTTAATCTGTACAAATCTTCAACAGAATATCAATTCGATGAAGAAGCTATCATGATAAAGTTTGAAGACTGGGGAAAAAAGATTCATATTAGGGAATTAAATAAGGGTGCAGACTAAGGGTCACATTGCCTGCATCAGTTTACATTGTTTTCGTAAGAATTCAGATTACCCACAGTCCACTGCGCGCAATTTCTAGAAGATACGCTTTAAAGTCGTCGCCGCGGAGTCCAGCGTTCGCTCCTAGGCCAGTCCGTGTGGGATTTGTGGTGGTAAAGAGACCTTCGGTTTTCCCCTGTAATATTCCGATAGTTGCTTCATATTTACTCGTGTGTACGCAAATACATAGCCCAACTCCCGTCACTACAATAACAACGCAATTAAACCATGGGTTTGCCGGCGTGTAGTTAAGAAGCCAAGGCCGTCATCAGGTTAAATAGCTGTTATATTATCTGTGACATTCTGATGATAGGTTCAGTACGACGACATACGAGCCCCAAGAACAGGTATCATTTGCGGATGCATCATCACATCCTCAAGGATTCTGAAAAAATGAGAGATATTTTTGTTACAAATATTTACGATGACGTACATGAGAGCTGTTTTCAAATTCAATAGTAATTTTTTTTTTAAAAAAAATGAAACTTTTCTGTGATAAACAAGGACCATGGAACTGTCGATACAAACCACCCGATTATTTGTAGAGGGGAGGGGGCCAATTTTTCGCACGAAAATTACTATTATATCGATACAAACGTAATTGCTTCCAATTTACAAGCTCTAATAATTTCAAACATTACATCAGCATCTTAACTACGCTGATAAACGATATGACACTGTCAGATTCTCAAGAACTATGGCGTTAGTTGGCTTCAATGGTTAATTTCATTCTAGGGAAACAAGCTTGTGACTAGACCAAAACAGCGCTGCACTAATGTCAAACAGGTAATGCTCTGAGAAACACTGAAATCTCAGTACAACCTTCAGCCCATAACAAAAGCTGATCAAAAGCTCAGAACGTCCGAAACGTCGGGAAATAATGGTTGTATATGACAAGAAATGTGGAATAACACGAAAATATAATATTATTTATATTTAAATACAAACAGAGGTAACTAACATCGTGCAGCTGTCTTTATCGAGAAGATTATGGTCGCTCAGCTGGTCAGCGATGTCCCTGCGTCTTATCGATGTCGAAGGCTAACAAAAATCCGACATAGGGTCCTACCTTAAGCCAGATTAACTCAATCCACATCCCTAAGCTGTTTTATAATACACATTAAATATTACGCTGTAATCGTAATCACCATTTTCAAAATAAGAGTGTGGATCATCAGACTATTGAAACAATAACATAAACCTAAGATATTATTGGATGTAAGATTCGATGTTTTCACGGCGGTGAGTATGAAGATGGCTGTCTTCGGGGTTGAAGTGTCGTGTAGTTTATATTAGGCACAAAGGACCTCTGAAACGTTGGTAATCCAGTCCGTACCCCCCCCCCCCCAAAAAAAAAATACTGCTACGAGAACACAGTTTTTGGTAAAATCCACAGGACCCGGGAGCCATATTTCCACGGCACACGAACACACATGGGATCACTGAAAAAAAAAATGGATTCTCACTGGAATACAGTTCACGTACCCTTCGGTGTTGCAAAGCCATCGCAACCTCGTAAGCCAACAAGACAGCGTTAACGGGATAACGCATTCTGGGTTAAGTGAAGTCACATCTCGCTTTATCCCCCACAGCGAAAGGAAGTCTCTCTCTCTCTCTCTCTCTCTCTCTCTCTCTCTCTCTCTCTCTCTGTAGGTAATAAAACTCGCGCTCTGTACTCGTTGTTAAGTGGGCTACGACGAAGGAGATACTGATCTCACAGCTTTACTATGATCATCTATAGCCTATATGGAGCATAAACACTTAACGAAGTTACTATTACTAACCCTTTTTCAGCCCAATGTTAACTAGAATCATCACCCTGATGACGGAGGTAGCAAGTACCTCTGAAACGTCAGTAAACATCTACCAGCCTACGCGGTGCAACAACCCAGAAGACAGTAATCTTCAGACTCATCGCCACGAAAACCTCAAATCCTACATTTCGTAGTGAACAGCCTTAATTTAACTTAAACAGCGTTAACCAGTCGATCTTCGTAATGGTGAAGTGCTGTGTTTTCTTCGCGGTACGGGCTGGATTCTTATTACTTACGTAATACGAGCTTCGACTTCGAAGTGTTAAGAAAGTGATTCCTGTTTTGCGGTGAGAATCTTACAAAATGAAGAGTTATTATTGACTGTTGAACCAGGTGGGATACTGGACCTTGAAGGATCGATATTTTGAATTCGATACGTAAGCAATTAATTAGGTCGAAATAGATATTACGAGCTGTAACTATGGAAAACGCCGAGCCTTAGGAATGTGATCCTGAAAGTTCTTTATCCTCATTCTGCTATCATTAGAAAGTGTCTTGTAAGCAGCTGACTCGCTAATTGGCTTCTTGTGACAAGATTAGAGTCTAATTAGTATCCACGCAGAAGCCTCCTTTGAAGGATGTCACAAACAAGTCTTGCAGCTTATCTCATTGATTCGTTCCATTTCTGTGATACAGTTATTTATAGAAAAGACAATACCGAAAAGAAATCGATTACCTTCCTCCTGACAGGCAAAGAAGGGGATTGGTGAAGAAGAAAGTGAAATACTTAAAAATTTATAAGGTTCTTTAACTTTTAAACTCGTTTGTGGGAGAGAATATATCGACTAACCGAATCGATAGTACACTCTCGATATATAACGAAAAATTACAGAGAAAATTTCGTTCCTGCAACAATTTATAAATATATTTGACTTTGAATAAATAATTATTTTTGAAGAAACGTAAACATATTACTTCTTGTAATGAGACGACAGATGATAGATAAGTCCGGCGGTTTATAGATATTCTGAATTTATATACATATATATATATATATATTAAAATTAAAAATAAACTACTATTAAAATACAAAATAAATAATATGCCTCCATCCGACCATTTGCAGGCTCACAGCTTCGAAATCTGTGACTTATCCTCCGAACTGATCTTTCAATCGAGTGCAAGCCTGTACCATAATAAATACCACGTAGATCCAATATTCGATATGTAATTTGTACATACTGGACCTATGTTACATTGTAACAGTTTAGACCATACCAATATTTGCAAGAATCTCTGATCCATGAAAGAGATAAAAGTTAATATTACAAATTCTTAGTCGTCAAATCCAAAGAAAAGATAGTAACTGAGAGGATAATATTAAAGCAGATCGTAAATAAATTCCTTCTAAATTTTATAATCAATTAATATTGCTCAGCATAGAATCCAGTGGCGGTCTCATGTGAACTCGGTTTCACAAAATCAAAATCATGAGACTATCTTTAAAAAAAAAATTATTTTAACAATGATCTTTACATATCCGTGCGTACACTTTTACTCAAACGATAACCTAAGGACGTCTACCGCAACCACATTCCACACACGTTACGACTTCATTCGCCCGTGAAAGGTACGTGATGTCAACGAGTGGATTTTCCAGGCTTCTTGATGTGTCTGGAATGTTCTAAGACTTACAGCAGGATTTTTCTCACGTCAGACGCGCCGTGGCCGATACAAATCAGATGAATCACCTGAGAGTTGCGACTCGATAAGAAAGGATCGATCTCCGATCTTAGAGATCGATCTCCGATCTTAGAGATCGATCTCCGATCTTAGAGATCGAGAACTGCAGTCTTCGACTGTTCTCTGAGTGCAACATTTTCTATCGCTACTTATAAACAAGACAATTAGAGCCATTATCATTGTTTGGTGCAGATGCAAACATAATTACGTAGTCTCCGCGAACAGCTTTAATGTGGTTTATCATACTTGTAAATCAACAACCAAAGAGAGGTTTCTACAAGGGGTGAGTGCGCGTAATTACACGTGTGAATCATTATGCCTTCAGGTTAGGTTAGGTTTCGATCTTACTGACCAAATCGATTTGAAGATCAGAATTATCTCGCGAATTTTTAGAGTTCACACAACGCCTACTGAAAGGTGAATGCACCCAGCAACACACAAAGCAGCATTCCACGCAGAACTCACGATTTTTTTTATAAACTGAGTCACATTAAGCGGCCGTGTGAGATACGTCCACAGTCCAGAGACACGGAAACCACAAAATACAAATAAACACACTACCAGGTGCGTAGGCAATCCTTCTTTCGACAGAGAACAATCAGCTTATATTGAATTTCGATCTAAATTACATCCTGAAACATTAACACTCTCTTAACCGGCTCTAAGTCTCTCATAACGAAGATCTGTGTATCCTTCACTTTAATTCATATTATGTCAAGGGATTCGCTCGACATAATACCACTTTAAAATCCGGTGGTAACTATATATACCACCTGTCTTCCCAGTTTATAATTCTGCGTTTTTTTCCCCCCGTGGACTGTATTTATGGATGTTGTATCATCCTCAGAATGACAAACATCAAACACCTGGTCTCTTTAATAGAGGCGTGTTGTGTTTTCTATGCGGTACGAGCTGATCATTAATGTGTAGATGAGTTTTGGCTTCAAAAGGATGAATGCAGTGTTTACGAAATTTGAATTACAAGCCCCTACATTTACTTTGATCTGAATTTCGATATCAGAATCAGTTATTAATCTTTAAATACGTATTAAAAATAGACTGCCGCCAGTGGTACAATTTCCACACTTTGGAAAACACTGGGCTAACAGTAGCAGACCATAATAGCCCCACCCCTCATTCGAAACTACCCCCCAAACCAGAAACAGCGTAAGGATTCAGAAATCTGTCTTGCAGTAAAACTGGGTGTATGCTCCTCGCCCTATCTCTTTTCCGGTTGGCAACGCTTCTAAGACAATGAGTCAGAAAACGTTCACCTCTCAGAGAACGAACTTCGAGCATTATCGAGAGCAACCAATCTCGAGCAGATGGTATCCGCCCAAACTGTGAGTTCAGCCCAGGAGGATCCTTCGGCTTGTGAAGTAGCACTTCCGTGCTATTCGCCAGGAAAACCTCACCCCTAACCAATAACACGTCGACTCTATCACCTCCGTCCCAACTGCCAACACAACATTCTCATACAAAAGCAAACAGCAATTTTATCTTCTTTAGAAAGCAGCTTTCTACGAGTTCATCCACGTGATTTTTTTTTAAATACAAGTGATACCAATGTCACCAAAAAAAATAACTATCCGAAAAAACCGGTGAATTAGAAACCTTCGTTTTTTCGGTACAAACCCTCAGGTTGCACAACAGGACATTCAAACAAGTTTGTAACGTAACAAAACGAATTAAAAAGACCTGCAATGTCAACTTTCTGACAAGACTTACAAAGTTCATCTAATTAACACTGGGTAAATGGTTGCCTGACAGAGAATCGAACCTCAGAGCTCTAGACTGTAGCCTGGAAATAATACTCGTTACACTCGCTCCTGCAAGAACTATTATATTTAGTTTGCTTTATTCTTATAATTAATCTATTTATTCATTAATATTTATCCTTTAAATAATACAGGTACTGATTTCTTTATTTTTAAAATAAGCTCATCACTAAATCAGTGTTATTATAACGACTCTTTAAACATGGAAATTTATGTTTACGTAATTCCTTACGAAGCTGTTAGACGTAACTTTTGTACTTTCCCAGAACAAAATAATACAATAATTATGAAGTCACACAAGAGCTAATTGCTTTCGGAATACATTTGGCGTGAGTGTCTTACCATGAGCAATGCAGTTCCCCCCCCCCCCCCCCCCCCCCCAGGTCCCCGTGTTCTGAAAACAACCGGGCTGTTATGTCAAGACCCCCAACGACCTACAGTCACACGCCAGTCAAGTGTCTGACATTTTGGTAACTTTACCAGGATAATCTGATTAGTCACTTAGAAACAGAAGCGCTCCGCGTGTCGTGTTAGCCTCACGTAAACTCAACTTAATTTACGAACACCACCGTCTGTAAACACACACGTTGACAAGCAACAGACATATTATCCACATCCATTTTGAACTTGTGGCTTTCCAATTATTCTCAGCGTAAACAGCGATTATTTCCTTAAACAGCGTTAACCAGTTGAACTTCGTAATGGTGAGGTGCTGTGTTTTCTTCGCGGTACGGACTGAATCCTTAAATATTGTGTAGACGAGCTTCGGCTTCAAAGGGTTAATACTACGTATTTATCAATTTTGATTTATTCTTTTGCTAATAAATATTTTAGAAGATTATTTCTAATGCGAGATGTCGTTTTATCATCACTTGTGACCTCATCAAAATCAAGGTCCGAAGGCCTGTATAAACATTTCGTAGCATTCTAGTGCTTTTATAGTCATAAGATAACTATTTTTATTTGTTTTCTTCGCTGACGATGGTCTCTCAGCTTTGTGCCTTGTACGACCGAAATTGGATTAGGCCTATTACAAAAATAGTTTCGTTCAGAGTCGAAAGAATTCAAGTAATATTTACGGCCTTATGTTATAGGAGATTTTCTGTGGACTCCAAGAGGATGTCTGCCCGGGACATGGCAGATGTTTTGATTGAGCGTGGGTTGACAGTCATTGACGAATTAACTGCACTTTATAGCCATGGAGACATCCTGACATGTGGTAAGACCCATCTCATTATCAAGGGTTCTTTTCACGATTCTCAAGAAATGATCCCGTCTCTGTGTTTCGCATGATTAAACCGGAGAAACTCTGGACGAATATGGATTAAATTTGGTATTGACGGTATATCATCGGGGATATAAAATAAAATTGTACTTCTCAACTTCATACGCTTTTAGAATTTGACTAACTGCGACATCACCGAGGAAATGACTGGTGCTAAGTGGGGGTTGCTGTTGCCAGTTCCACGGTTTAAAAACTAAAAAGAAACTGACTGTGTCTCTCCTAAAAGATTTACTTCCGAGGCTGCAAAGTTCAGTGTCCACTATTCTACCAGAATCTTGTTTTCCAGGCGAATTGTTGGGCTTGTACGTGACGAAACAGTGATACCACCCTACCGTAAAATAATACATCTGTTACAGACACGCACTCTTTTGTTACCAGCGTTATTGAGTGTAAAAGTTCCAGCCGTCGCTCGAGCACCTCTGACTTGGAGTTCGAAATTTTATACTTCAAACATCAAATGTGCTGATTCTTTACGACAATATAAAGAAAAAATATTTTTCATTAAATAAAATTGACATCCTTATTTAAACGAACTTCAAAAACGCTTAACTATAAACTGTTATCTAACAAAGAATATGGAATGGTTCAGAATGCTATCAGTGAAAGAAAGTTAATAACCAATTACACAGACAATTTTATAAAAGTTTACGATAAACCAAGCGTTTATAAACCCCCCCGCTCTAATGTATATTTCAATACGCCATAGGCCTGTAATGCAGGTTAGGTTCTTTAGAAGCTCACACAAGATGGGTGTGAAAATTATCGTCCTGAAGATCACTGCGCATAAGGTTTCCCATCCTAACTCCTACCAACATGCGTCAAATGGACGTGTATCATGTTAACCAGGAATCCACATAGCCTACACACAAAACAACAGATGTCTACTAGCGAGGACACCTGCTCCAAACAGCACGCCAGATGGTAGGTCGCTTGGCCTCGTAAAACCAGCAATAGCGGACTGTGACAATACTTCACTCGCGGGGCGATTCTCAGTTGTTTTGTGTTCTTGTGCCAACAAGCTTCTCAGTTGTTGAAAGGAAGAACATTACTCCAGTCCCACAGCAGTACCGCGATTTCTCTAACCAACCCAAAAACGTCCACGCTGACATTTTAACCCAGACTTCACGATATTCTTCCAGTTCGACCATTGATGAGATTTCAGGGTCTCAAGGCGGCGAGTAAAAGATATGGCTGTCTTCTAGGTTGTTGCGCCGTATAGTCTGGTAGAAGCTTACCGACGTTTCGAAGGTGATTTTTGCCTCCATCATCAGGGCGAATCGTCCTGAGCAACAACCCAGAAGACAGACGTCTTCAGTGTGGTCCTTACCGTTAATTTATAACCCTTTTCAAAAAAAACAAAAGTAAAGCTTTTATCAACGGAATAAATTTAAATATTTACAACAAAAACTGTGGGAATGTCCATGAAGAAGTCATGGATTTATTCTGTATTTCAATTTCTGACTTAATTTCATCGCTGGTGTATAACACTCCTGTTAAAAATCCGGAGGTTGGAGGTCGTGGAGGTGAAGGTTCACGCGTTCCGGGTCTTGTTAATTGCCGGATGACCTGTGGGATGTAACAGCGACTGATGAACTTCAATCTTTAATTTTGAAAACGGTGGACAAATTCTTAGATGCACGCATTCCGAAAATTGCAATGGGCTCGCGTAATCGGGAACACGCATCCTAAATCATCTACTCACCATTTTTGTTGTCGCTAAAAAAATTTGGTCACTGAAACCTGCATTTTAATTTCGCTTCAAGAAATTAAGAAGTGATACATCTTAACCATTGATAATTCTCCGATTCACGATTTATATTCCTTTTTAAACGCACCAGATTTACTTTTATAGTCACGACACCTTTCGAAACCTTAACATCGCTCTTAAGAATCAAACAACGCCATTTCAAAACAAAATTAGTCACTGTAGCTTCCGCATAGAGCAAAAGGAATTACACGGCCGTCTTTAAGAATGACTCGGATTTAACTGGCCTCATTTTACTAAGTGCCTCCTACTAGTAGCAGCAAAACAAAAACTTCTTGTGAGCCTCCACCATTGTTGTCAGTCTCAGACAAAAAACATTTAGCTCTACAGTGTTGATGTTGGTCTTTGGAGTTGTAACGTCGTGAGATTTAGAGGTAGATACTAACATATCGAAGGAACTGCCTCGATTTTCAGGCCTGAGGATGGAAGCGGTAAGTTCCTCCGACCTAAAAAAAATCACGGTACGTCACAACCCAAAACACTGCCAATGATATATTTACTGCAGTGCGTAAAACTCAAACACTTCGAAATCACGGGATATTACGCCTGATACTTCGCCTTCCCCATTCGACGGTCCTGTTTCTTCCGACAAGATTTAACTACGCCTGAAAAACATCAGTTTACATGCCGGGGGATGAGTTCATCGTTGTACACTAAAAATGCCAGCCCAATACATAACATTTCAGATGTATTTAATACAATAAAATTACTGGGAAAATTTGAATTTCTTTGATATGGGTTTCAAATTCAAAGACAAGTTAAAGTATTAAAATGTACTACTTAAATGTAATTTATTTACTATTGAAATATTATTTTCCAACTATGTTGTTCACTCCAGTTACCATGTGTATGGTCACGTTATAAATAATCGGCACACGCTTATTTTTTAAGGTTATATACGTCTTATAAGTCGAATCTTCATGATTAATTTGGGGGAGGTTGTCAAAAAATATAAAATGAATGACAAATATTTGTAAAGTATAAAATTAAATATGTGACACAGTTTGCTTACCTTTCATTCTTAAATGTCGCTTGTTCCACTCCACTTGTAATAAATCTGGAACATGCACAACAATATTATTAAATACACAAAACCAAGTCGCCTTTCCCGCCTCCAGAAATACGACTGCACGAATCCACGATCAGACACACACTAAGCAACACAGATAGTACCAACATACCACGCTTACGAACCTAACCACTATGGGTACCGGCACATACTGTCACTGAAACGAGCTGTAAACGCCATTGACGGAGACACGGCGAACTAAATTGTGACCGAGCCACTTCTACTGCGCATCGTCTTTTGCGCACGCACAAATCAGCATTTGTGCAACAAAACAAAACAAAACCAATTTAGTAACAATACCCGTATAATATATTGGGCAGTTAATAAGACCAATGTAGGATTGAGGTCAGCTCTTCTTTTGTCCTGCAGAACTGGAACCTGAGACAGCCATCATAAACCAACAACAAATCAAAAACTGAGCCCCCAGGCCTCCTGTTGCACAATGTTAATGTATAAAAACAGGTCACAACCCTTTTGAAATACCTACTGTAAATCCATATTCAGTGGGTCCAATGTCACAGGGTCATGAAAAGTTCTTTGGTTTGGTAATGATTTTATTAATTCACTTCATTTGGTTGGTTGTCATTTAACAATACCACTTAGTTACAAGATATTTTTATGTTCATTTCAATAGGGTAATTATTTTATAAAATTTTATAATCGATTTAACTATTTGTGAATCAGCAATAGTAAGAAAAATCATTTTGCACTTATTCCATTTACTTGGTACATTTGTAACATGTGAACGTAATAAACATATGTGAAATTCAACACACAAGAAACAATCTTGTCATGAGTATTGATAGGGAAAAATAAAACATATTTAACAAACAAATCATCTGTCGATATTGTTTAGAGAATTTAATCTCAACTTTGCTGATTCAACAATAAACATTCTTTTCACTTATTTTGATAACTTCATTTGTGCCTAAATCTAACACAAGGCACCTCCTTTGAACCTACAGCTAGAAATACAGTCCGTCCAACAACACGAGGCAAGCACATCAGCTGCTACAAGAAAAATGACAGAGAGAGCGCTACATTGTTTAAGTCAATGGTGCTTTCAAAGAAGCACAGCTTTGCAAATATGTGAGGGAAAAAAAGACTAGACACAGAATAAAGTTTGCTTCCACAAACATGCAGTCCACTAGTGACAAGCAAACCACTTCCGAGAGTTAATATATCAGCTGAAATACATAATTTTATTCAACTGTACTAATGTTTAGTCCCAGTCTTCATCGTCCTCGGTGTTCGATGAAATGGGCTCTGTGCATCCTGGTGGTGGGATCATGGCTGAAACTCGTTCCATAGCTACACCCACCGACGACTCTAGCTTGTTTGCACCTGATATACCCTACAAACATTACGGTCCTTCGTCAGAATTATGCTTGTGTCACGGAGCAGTAATGAGTTTAAAAAGTTACTTATAACTTTGAAATCAAGTTTGGAGACAACAAACTATTTAGAAATAAAGTATATCCATATAATTTTTATATGATTTTTAAAGTTTCCATTACAGCTAACATTTGTCTTCGTTAACCTATTCCCTGGCTTTTGAAAAATCGAGCAACACTTACAACTATTTCTTAATGAGATAATCAATTTTGTGAAAGACTTCCAAACAGAAGTCAAGCATTTTACTGCGCACAGTACGTGAAATTTAGGCGGATTTTATTTGAAATTGATCTCAAACATGATTCAGGTAAAATACACAGTCAAACTGTTCATACCTTCCTTCGCATTGAAAGCTTGGCATGAAGATCGTCCATTAAATCACCTCCACCTCCACTTGCTTTTTGCTCCTGCAAAAATAAAACAATAAAACACATCCACACAGTAATAAAACAACTACAAACAAAAACACCTCACACCTCTGACTGAATGAATCATAAATCGCATGCTTCAACTGCGAACGTTATACAGCGTGACCTAAATCCTGAGTAGGTAAGGATTCGATAAGAGTCAGTAATTGTAAGTGCTAATATTTTCAGCCAATTTTAACACACCAGAAGAACTGCATACTACCTAAGAAAACTATTTATCATCATACATTTTACAAAACTTACCATTTTCTTCTTTTTTGCTTCAATTTTAATATCTTTAGCAGATCTTAATTGGGCTTTTCCTGAACCTCCAGCCTGACGAATAGCTTCCATGAGGTTCGCACGAGCATCGCTACTGCCTTCAGTACTTGCTCCAGCAGACTTCTGAAGTAAAATGAATTTATTTTGTGATTTATTTAATGACATTGCAAGTGCCTCAGACTACACAGCACTGAACGACAGGATGATTAACGAATGATGGATTGAAAACGATATGGAAGGAAGAGGCCGTGCCCTAATTTAAGGTACAATCCTAACAGTAATTTACTTGGATGGAGTGAGGAAGACTATGAAAATTTCAGTAATGATAGCCAGTCTTTGGTCTTAGGTTTAAACCTGGGACCTCCCAAGTACACAACAGGAGGGTCAACCACTTGGCTGGAATGATCAGTCTCCTGAAATTTTAATCTCTTGTCTTTGTACAGGTCAATTACTCTTTAAATAATGGATGGCCATAAATCTTACTGTGAATGAATGGTATAATCGAGAGAAAAGCTCATTGCAAAATGATATGACGAACAGAGAAGCCTTCTTACAGTGGACCGGCTCTAATGTCGCACTTACAGTGTTTATCTTTCGTGGTCAAAAAACAAATAAAGCAATGTCATTACTTAAGCCACAGCCTTTATCACTCACACAGTTCAAATTTCTGTCTTCAGCAAAATGCTACAAAAGATTTTCAATGAACTAGTAGCGTTACTTGCTAAACTACTGTAAAATTATAATAAAAATGAAGATATAAAACAATATGTACATGTATTTACAACACCTTGTCTCCATCAACAGAGTAGATGCCTACTGTGAAAGCTTCACCTTATGCAGAAGAAATAATTTTGCACGCCGGAACAGAAATATAAATTTGGAGCGCCTATATCAAGTAGCATTCGTATGCAAATTCTAAGTACAACAAGGTAAAAAATCCTAATGTTCGACTGACCATAAATAATAAATAAACTTATGTACGTTTCACTAATATGAAGTCTTTACCTAATAAGACACACTGATTTATAAATATGATTTTTGGAAATATGGGTTAACACATTAAGCAACTGTATGTACATATGCACTTACAACAACCGGTGCTTTGGGCGGCGCAGAAGAAAGAACAGGCTCCGGAGCGGTATGAACAGGTGGAGCAGTAGCTGTAACAGGTGGGGGAGGCGGAGGAGGAGGCGGTGGAGGTGGAGGTGGTGGGAGGAAAGCAGGAGGTACAGGAGCAGCTGGAGGAGGGGGGGCCGCAGCTGCAGGAGGAGACGATGGGCTCTCAGGTACCAAACTTGGTAACTCCGGAATGGCCGGCGTAGTCGATACGGACGGGGCAATCATAGGCCCCAGATCCATGCTGTACCTCAGATCATCTGCTACTCCTGATAGAAAATTAAAATCAAGTTTCAGCTAAAATAAAAATATAATTCAGAAAGCAGTGAACAATTTACTGTCAATTTTTAACAAGACAAGACAATAGTTAAAAGAGCTCATTATGGTTTTCATGCAAATTTCCTTCCATATGGGGTGTTTAACAAGAGTAAATACGGGACAAATCTGTCACATACATTCACTGTTACACTACAAGCTAGTAAACATGGAGTAATCACTCGGACTTGGCTGCGCTAAATTTAACCTCCAACATTTTCATAAGTAATGAATCCTTTAAACAAACAAAACTGGTATGTTCTGTAAATACGCGAATAAATTTCCTCACCTGATTCTGAACTTAGCCTTGTACTACAAATACGATGTAAGTGCTTAAGTAAGGTATGTCCCGCAATATGAGAGACAAAAATAAACTAAATGTAAATACCAGGAAGGTCAGGTAAATCGAGAGGAACATCAATCTGTGGCACTTCACCCAGACCGGGAGAATAAAAGTAGTTCTCTCCTGCTGGATGGTCTAACATTTCCCTCTGCGAGATGGAGATAGGTGCAGCTTCCATTCGCTGCTCCTCTTCCTCCTCTAAGGCTTGTCGAGTCTTTGTCACCACTCCCAAAGGATCCAACATGACATATTGCCTGTATCTACAACATAATTATCACATTATCTGTTTCATTTACTACTGAACAGACTTTATCATCACTTAACACTAGATTGACTAAAAACGCCTTCAGTTACTGACACCAAAATCTGTTACTAAATTTAAATTATCCGAGCAACAGACATAACAATACGCAGTGCCGGCAGAAACTGTTTAGTCAAACGCAGAATGAACACCGTAAGGAAACAATTTCCTTGCTGTACTTTTTATCTGTGAAATACAGCGAAATGTCTCTTTCTTCATTTGTTCCCATTACAACGAAGAAATTATTTTAACCTCTGTGACTGCACTGATAATCATATTGGATTCAACATCTCCAGCTGATACCTCAGTAAGTCCATCCACAATCCATAAAGTTATAATAAACAAGAGTAATGTCAGGGCAGTAAAACGTATTATACGCACGGGTTTTCTGAAGTGTTGAACAGCAGAAGAGAGCCGATGGAATCCAAATTTCTAGGCAAACTTCCTAGTCCTTCATCCGGTGTTATTTCAACATTTCTGTGCAAAAGTCTGTTACTTACTTTCACATGATAAAACTGAAGTTTTTCCTGGAATCATTTTAAAAAAAAACTGTAATAACCCACTGAAGAACAAGTTCTTTGCATCCTAAAACTTCAGCTTAAAATTTACATCACTCCTACCTTAATCAACAGCAAACCATAGGAAAAGAGACAAACAAAATGCAGACTACGCACCTGCAAAACTTTTCCTTCCAATGGTAAATGTTTACTTTTGATTTTCACTGGATGTCTATTAAAGGGCAGAGGATCGTCTGACTTGAAAATGGAACGATAGTCGCTGTGAACGTCCGAAGCTGGGTATTTGGCACTAGAGAACACCTGTATATATAATGCAGTATTAATTTTATTTGTAAAAGCATAATTAATGTATATCAAACTGTTTCATTCTAGCTCAGATCTAAAAGTTTGTGACGACGGTACGTTTTTAAAATAAAAAGTTTTCTGGGTGTTTTCCATCGTCTAATAAAATCATAAAATTGCACATTTTGGAGATGAGACTCTATCTCCGAAATTTCAGAATTTTGTATTATTTTTGTTTCATTCTACTCATACTTTTGTTGCTTTACTGCTTCCAGTCAGCTTTTCAACTTTCATCTTGGCAAAAGATGCTCGTTTATGTAATTTCTCTAGCTTGGCTTTACTTTCCACTACTCGAGACTCAACTCGAGCAAATATGTCTTTAACCACTTGGTCTAGATAATCCAATGCATCTGAAATCTGGAGAATAGTTTCCTCTTGTCGTAGGTCTTGCTGGATTATTGGGACAGAATACAATGAATGCTCCATTTAATAACACGTTCTTACAGCCCACAGTTCTGAAAAATATACAATAAAATTGGTACATGAGTGATCTTAAAATTTTAAAGAATAGATACACTGAACAAATCTGCTTATTGATGTACGATTTGATATTTTCACAGTAATATGAGTTTACATAGAAATCTTCTACGTTGCTGTGTCTTGCAGAGTAACATGCTGCCTCCATCTTCAGGATCAATAGTTCATAATGATGGCACATAACCAGATGGTTACGATATGTAATGTACTTAATGTTATTCACAGGCACCTTTTACAACAAAACTGCTATTAACTCTTCAGTAGTTGAACCTCAAGGAATATTCAATGTTTACCAAACGATGGCATTTCAAACTATGAAGCAAGTCAACAAATACATATATTTTATTCTTGTAGAGACTTGACTTTCATATACATGTGATAAATATTACTGTGGCTGGACCTAATAATCAGGCCAAATGTTTTTTTGTTTTTTTTAGAATTAGAATTGATTTACATTCTATAGACTCTTCATAGTATAAGTCAAGGATGTGGTATATTTCATAGTATGGATACAAACATTCAGTACAAAACATGATACTTATTACATCAATTTAAATATGTATTCAGTGAGATAAAAGATAATCTTTCAATACTGGCTTAAATACATTTATATCATGATTTATACTTTTAATGCTCTTTGGAAAAGTATTGAATTACTTGTCCCTGCACGGTAAGCATATTTCTGATATTTATTGATGTTAGAACTCAGCCGATGCAGAACATGCTTATGCCTTCTCAGCTTACACTTTCAAGGAAGTCTGCAGTACACTTCAGATTCAACAATGCTAATATCAAAGCTTGCCCATGGACAGATTCTGAGCCACTTCCATCAACCTTCCAATATTATCTTCACATCCATTCCTTGGCCTTCCAATTAGACATTCTGCAATAGTTATCATACCAAAATTATGCCTATCTTGCCTGCTCCATCCCAGCCAAATGCCCAGCCCATCACAGCCTCCTAGACTTCACAATCATAACAATATTAGGTGACATCTACAAATCAATGTTTCACGAATGTCATATCCTGCATTAAGTAGCTTCTGAGGTTCTTATGACAGTGAGTATGAAAATGGCTGTCTTCTGGGTTGTAGCACTCTGTAGTCTGGTAGTAGTTTACCCATGTTTCACATTCTCTCATTGTATACACTGCATTTACCACAATCTCCATCCTGGGATTGTCTCAGCTACAATTATAAATGCATTCTTTACCATTCTGACCAAAAAACATAAATACTCTGTACCAAAATAAAGAGATATAGGAGCAATAAACAAATCAAATGGACTATGACAAGATCAGTAACACAGAACTGTATACGTGGCAACTTCGCAACTGTCAGACCAATATTAGGTTAGAATAATTTGTATGAGTCCTAGACACACCTATATCTCAGAATTTTATGATTCTGCAAAAATTTGTTAAAAACTACAAAATCTGGAAAAATAATTGACCACTGGTAATCCAAACTCCAATTCGTTTTGCGTGTACTATCTATGGGCACAATTAAATTAAACTGATATCTCCTTTATATGTCCTAATATCGTCAAGAACATGTAGATTACATTAAAGAAATTAAAAAGTGAATAATAACATTTAATGTTTGGAACACCTCAACTGCACTACCGTACTAAAAAAATTCACATGAATTATAAAACCTGTTGCCGCATGTTGTTTATGTTGATAGCATTGACCATACAGGTAACCTTTGGCCAAAGAGTACTGTATATCCGAAGATTCTTAGCACAAAGAGTACCATCGGAATTTTAATTCATCCAAAATAAGGGTACACTACAAACGACTAGCCGTAGACGAGGCGATAATTTGTCAACAGGTTAAAATATAAAAATGTGTTTGAATCTAACACTGTATGATTCTATTATACTGTTTATGGAGTGATGGATGGTAATACAGGCCTTTCCAGAAAATCTACGTATTTATGTTAAAGGGATTTTTATCCATAATGCATGAACAGGCAGTCTTAGTGAAAGTATAATTTAAGAATTATAACTTCCATGGATATGTTCAGAGATCTTCACCTGTTAAATGTTAAAGAAGCACAAAAGGAAATGGATTGGAATAATTTATGGGAAAGTCATACATGAATCTTTATATAACCTCCTTTTGTTTTCAGGAACTTTAGTGTTTAAGGCTTGTAGCATCAGAAAATCATGTCATATACTTCTAAAATAGCCTTAGGTGCTGCAATAACTGTGTCTGTTGGAACTATTAGCTATGTTCACTATAAACAACACTTAGACAGGTAAATAAACTTCAGCAAATTTTCTGTAGCATGTGGAAGAAGTGGTTTAAACCTAATGATGGTTATTAGGAGCACAACTGTGAACATGGAACATATCTGGCAAGAAACAGGTTATCAGTTTAATGTGTGTAGAGTTACAAACAGAGCACACATTGAACTCCACCAAAACACATTATGAAATTCTCAGATCATTTGTATTCATTCTGTGTCATAATCTGAATGCATGACAGCAAATGGTTCAGTGATTGCAAGAGTCAATATTTAAGGCATTTTAACTTCAAAGCTGCATAATTTCTTCGTTATAAATCACTAAGGATATTGCCTAAAGTAATGTAACACTTTATTCAGGAACAGACTCCATGATGGTGTAATCAGAGATGTAGAGCGCCAACAGAGAAGAAAGACGGAGAATATCTACTTGCTTCAGCAGCAAATAGAACTCACGAAACAACTGAAAAAAAGTGAAGATGCACAATTGAAAACCACTGAAAGTGTTGGATAATATATTACGTAGTATGAAGACTTTGCCATTCATATTTTTTCTGATATATAGTAACAGTTTATGCAGCTGGTCATTGTAAATACAAAATTTATACTCAAACAATGTGCATAAGTATAATAAATTCAGTTGTACTGTAAATAATTTCAAACATAATATACATTGACTGATACCATATAATAAACGTAAATTATTTAGAGATGCAACTTCCAGATTAAAATATATAGGGCCAATTCTGTAAAACATGAGTTTAAGGCTTATAATTCTGTTATTCATGGAAGAAAGTATATTTTAATTTGTGATTAGAAAGTAAATTCTATAATGTGAGCTACTGACAGCATTATTAAATAAATATGTGTTGGAAGATTGTAATATTCTTTACTTTTAATAAAGTCTCCTCAAAACCAAAGCAGTTTTTGAGATCGTGTGAATACAGATACGTCTGTTACCAACTATCGCTTGCGTATAGGCTATCAGTTTGTAATTCTCACTGTGGTGAAGATGTCGGTGGTGGTCTTTCTGGTCGAGATGCTGTGTTAGCTTGTGTGTGGGTACCATTGTTTCAGATGGACATACAGAGCCAGTTATGTTCCTCTGAAGTGGTACCTACCAACAAGTCCACACTCATTCTTAATCTTAGTCATACCTTAGCTGCACTTTTCCCTGGGGAAAGGCCCCAAGTACCCATTAGATAGGAGGCTGGGAGGGCTCCGGAGCTAGTCTGGATACAGAGGCCAACTTATTTCTGTGCAACACAATCTCTTAAATTTCAAGATAAATTCTATATTGCATGATAAGCAAAGTGATATCACATGATATCAAACTTTAATATATACAAACATGAAATAATACATACAGTTTCCCAATCACGTTCAAAATAAACACATACAAATCTATAAATACAAGAACATTAACATTGTTTCTTAATGTAGAATTACGTAAATTATGTGGGTTTGTTCATTAGGCAGTGGCATATCTCGCAGAAAATTTATCCACAATGCCAAAATTCTTATAATGAATACACATTCGTAAAAACTCAAAAAAAGCAGAGTTTAACAGTGTGTTGCATTTCATTTTGAGGAGAACTTTTTGTAAATATTATGATATTTGCATCATCTTTACAAATATAGACATACAGATACTGTAAGTATATTTTTCTTCAGGGGTGGAATAGGAAATCAGTTAATGATGCGAGATGCTTATTTAATGAGGTGTCTGAGGACTTTGGTAATTTTTCTTTTTCCTGTGACAGCACATTAACCAACTGATGAGAAATTAAAATTAAATGTTTAAAGATAATTAATAAGGTCTTCATTTTCAAGAAGCTGGACTGTATTGCGTATTTTTATTTTCAGAGCTTTACAAAATTCCTCAAGATGAGACACTTAAGTTTAGCCCTTCCAAAGTGGTGGTATTATTTATATGCTGATTTCATATATTGGATTTTGTCATTAAATATGATGACACCTCAGGAATGTCAGCTAACTTATCCTTTGTAGGAACAGGTTTATGAGTTGAAAGTTGCACACTGTAAGCATGTTGCAGTCAGTGCTAATGGTAAAGGTATGCGTCTTATTATTTGAACATGGAGACAAGCTGACAGACGGACAAGGCCTATCCAGTAATCACTTATGGATAACTATGCTTAGGCATGTTAATATGTTACGGCAAAAATTATCAGAGAAAACTCACTGTATACATGATTCAGGGAATATTTTAGTTTGCATTAATAAAAGAAATGTATCTGTTTTATGATATATACAAATAAAATAAGATTCCATAATAACTAATTGTCGAGCACCTAAAAAATTAATAAGTTTTTGGAGTTTAGCTACATCATTACTGTTTAATCCATTAAGATATATTTAGTGACTGCTCAGTATTCTGAGCATTATTCAGATTTGAATTAATCTGACATTAAATGACACATACAGTTTTTCCACAGTACATTTAATAAGCCAGCATAGTGTAATATTTTAAGAACAGTTCACATATCTCAGCCGGGTCAACTATATCTAATTGGCACCAAGTTTATGTAAGTGTCTACAATGCAGCATTACACTTAGGCATTTCTATGTTGTAACAAGTAATTTCTCTATTTGGTATGAAAGTAACACGTACATAATAAAAGTGAGTGGATAAATCCAATCAGGTTTAAAGTGTAGTATACTTAGCATGCTCTGGTCTAGCTCTGAAAGCGATAATCAGAAAATGTGCACCTTTTCAGGTACTTCAGTTCCAAACATATAAAGGACCATCAAGTTCATTAGCACTTTTGATGGATAGACTCTCTTTGATGGAAATCACTGAGAATTCACTGTATTTAATAACTGTTGTGATGGAAATAATCACGAACACAAGTAAAATTAAACATTCATATAAAATAATGTTCAGGAACGGATCAATGAACATTATTCATGAACAGAAATTATCCCATAATAACTATTACGTGAGTCTTTGCAGTGTTCTTGCTGTATACATATATTCATCATGGTCCCCATCAAAAATAAAAAAAGGAATCTGAAATTATTGCAGTAAATAGATTATGGAAAAACTTTCAATCCATTAAAATCAATAATGAAAACTACATCACTGTAAATACAAAGTTACATTTCACAAAATATGTTTTGGAACACAATGAGGCTAACCGAAATCAAATTTTCATTCCTGCCAGTTGCACTAAATTACTGAAATGTTAGGTTAGGTTACCAGTTCTAAAACAACCATAAGATGCCAAAGATACTTTGCTTTATGTTGCAATTCTGAGTCTAACTTGCATAATTTTACAAATAGAACGCAATAAAGATCTTTAAATCAGGCCTGTCCATGCTAAAATGGGATATACCAACTTCCTTTATTATTGCAATATGATGTTCTGCAGTGGGTTTCATGATATCAACAGTTTTTTAAAGTTGATACAAAATTAAATCAATACGATGTTATGAATAAATTACTTTCAATGGACAATATTCGTTTTATATTCAAACTACATCTGGCAATGCACAATATAACCTATAATATTTAATCACATGAGATTAATTTCTCAAAACCTTTACGATATGAGAGTCCATAAAATAGCTGCAATAATTATCAAATGTGTACATTTATTTTTGTAACACACAGTTTATAAATGTATGATGAGCTGTCAAAAGACATTCAGCAACAGTATGAATACTCATAACACAGTTCTCAGCCAAGCACACTTGGTAGAATATAACACACTGGAATGTAGGTCATGAGAAAATGTGCTTTAATTTAACATTCTGAAGTCAAATAACATATATAAACATGAATGGAATCAGCTTTAGGTACTGTATGACACATGAAAGCATGTGCTAATGTTGACAAAAAATCAATTATACAAATCATGAATATTCTGCTATCACAAATACTGATAAAGGAATGTCCATTTATACATAGCAAACATTTCAGAACATTAAGAAAATGAAATTACTTTGAATATGTTGGTTTGTGTTGGACATTAGTTCAGGTTTTATAGACATGGCAATATCAGATCACACATACACAGCTATTATTGGCGAAATGAAAATTACCTTCATCACATCATCTATTAACTCGGATTTTATTTCAGTAATCATTTATGCAATAAAATTATTATTTTGTACAATGTAAATTGAAATATAATATAAATAAACAGTGCCTGAGATCATTTGGAATATGGAATTAACAACATATATATACTCTGCATTAACTGCATCAAATGAATTACATTTAACTGCAATGATCGACACAAATTTGATTGTTTAATGTGATATTTACATACAAAGGATGACATTTCTGACAAACACGTATAAGCCAGAACATTACATTCCTACGGACATGTTATAATGTGTACACACCAATTTGCAGCGCCATCTTCAGTTTCGCATGCGTGGATGCCAGGGGTGACTATTTTCATCACTTTACATGATGGAATGCAGTTTCACAAGGACTGAGTTACATATCAAAGACATTTGATTATAATCATCAGTGCATGAATAGTAATTTTAATGCTGAAAGTCTGGCGCTGTAGTGAGAGGATTACTTTGCGCAATGAAATGAAGTCAATCAGTTGTAGATGAATGTTATGTGATGAAACCATTAAATGAAGCTGGTCTAGTAAACACACATTTGTAATTAAGTGCATATAGTGAAAGCAATTTTAAATATCAAGTTATAAGAAACTGTACTTTATTTCTTTACGGTTAAAGTGAATACAGTGTTACAAAAATACTGATTCATCTAGATGTCATATGAATAATTAGAATAACAACATAAAATCGTGAGCCTCATAACTTATTCTACAGGAACTAGTTTTAACAAAAATGACACTTCAAGTTGCCCCGGAATTCTGACACAGAACTTCAGATTACAGACGAGACTTGAAAGACGCACTCTGAAGGGTACGCAAAAGTTCTAAGGGTGTTCTCTTTGCCACATCGTATGGGTGTGATATCAAAAAGTTCACACTGTCACTGACAGATGGCACCATGAATAGTTTACACAGCCACTGGCAGATAACAGCATGATGAGTAATGACATCGACACAGAGGACAATCATCCCACCTCATAAGTTCAAGTGTCTATCATGTTAGTACAGACAGTATTAGTCTGAAGTAGCCTCCAATGGCATAAAATACATACCAAATTTCATGAAAATATGTTCAGTCATTGTAAAATAATAAAACACATACAGATGGACATAAGAGATTACGACACATTACAGGATCATGGGTAATGATGTCATAGAGGATCATTCCACTTATGCTACGAATTCATTATCAAGGGCTGGTACAAAATGCCCCTATGAGCCAGTATGACCAAGGAACTCGAATCAAACCACACTCCGATGTATTTGTTTATGTTCTGGATGAGAGGTGTGCACGTCAATTATTTAACATGAACGTAAACCCAGTTTAAAAAATATAGTTCCACAATGAACAAGTGAATTGTGATATTATTGCTAATAAATGGAGTTTTAAAATGAAAGGGAAATTTAAAAAGCACAGAACTGTGTACTTCAGCTTCGTTTTCCATATATTTTGCAGGATATTTGCTTGCACTACAGTTTTACTGAAGAAAGCAATGTCACTATACAACACCAAAAGAGTTTTAGTAGAAGATATCTATGTGATAATTTTGCACCTATAATCAATTTCTATTCTGAAACACTAATAGTATAAGACAACATACATTAAACACTGACGTGATAGAAGTTAAGGAGGATTAAACTCTGGATGGAGTGATACATACTTTGAGGAAGCAATGTGAGAGTTTAAAATATTCCACTGAATGCTTAAATTACCAATTTGTGTACTATTTAAAATTTCGCAGCAGTAAAGTGACTGTACGTCACTTCTTCCTGCCTGCATTGTCTTCGTAAATATCTGTACGCTGGGTTTACCATTCTTTACTGTGTTTGCCACATGTCAATGCAAACATATATTACCATGTATTCTGCTGCTGGTTTACATATCACCCTACCCATTTTTTTGGCCGTATGCTATAGCAGTTTGCAGTATTACATGATAAATAAATGAATGCCAATAATTTATGTATGTCCAAGGGATCACAACAGATAGCTGCAAACTTCATCTATAAGCATAAGATAAAACTATGTGCTCAGTGTGCATCCTGAAAGAGACATTTTTGTCTTCCCGTGGCGTGTTGCTATCCGACCGAGGGCGAATATATTAGTCTGCATTAAGCGTGGGTTAATGACCCTGACAGAATATGGTGGCAAGTTTCTTGAAGATGATTTATTACGTTGACTCCATCTCATTATCACGGATACATGCATGTGCATGTAAATGTGTATATGTTCTCGCACACGTCAAACATTATCAGAATTTAACATATTCACCGGCATACCACCATCTGGTCCAAAATTATTTAAGTACAATGTACTCTTTTATAGGCCTGTTTTATATCATTCTGAATTTGTCATTGTGATGTTCAAACATTGCTGGAAACAATGAATACTTACAGTTCACATCCAAGCTTGTTAGCACCACGAGACAACGTAAGGAGAGACAGGAGTTGATATAAGAGTGACATATCCGATAAGCAGACAACTGCTTATCCAACGTACGCAACTATTATTAACCCTGCAAATATCTGACACTAGCCACCTCTGCAATGAGAAGCCAGCCACGACGCGGACAAAACTAGCCACCTCTGCAATGAGAAGCCAGTGAATAACGGCCCGTGTTCCGTGACGCGGACAACATCTGCCCTTAGCGTATTATATTCCCATAAGGTAATACCTGACAGATATTCAAGGACATCAGCATGAAGACTTGACAAGCAAGGCAAAGGCAAGCTAGGTCAATACTTTCATTCCGAGTATTAGATTTATTTCATTCTCTTTGCCGCCAACCACAACACGGTCTCCACACCCTTTCTATTGCCATTGAGCTGGAACCTGAACTGTACTATGCTGGCCAAAGTATTGCAGGTCTCAACACCGATAAAATCTCAATTCTTAACATCAACAATGACTAGATTCAACTTTGAAACAAAGCACCTCAACCAAATTTAAAATAAAATAAAATAAAAGACTAGGACCTACCTACATTGCTCTTTAGTACAGCCACGAGTCAGTGGTTTGTCACTACAATAACAGGGCGCTGCTTGCTCACACCGCAGTCCGCGCATTCGACCCGCTCTCAGGATTTAATAGCCTCGTACATTTTGCGGGCGTGAAACCGAACGTCTTCGTTCCTGTGCTGATTCATAAGGACGAAGGCTTTGCTCTGCATTTTCTCCTGAGTATTTACCCCGTAGATAGCTGCATACCTGCTAAAGAAAAATATATTAGCTAAATATAATATGTGCCAGATAAAAGAAACACAGACAACATACCACATGCGCAAAAAAACATTTCTTTCCTTCCTTCCAACAAAATGTATAAACCATAGAAAGTACTATAGGTTTGACAAGACGTCAATAACATGATCTAGAATGCTTTTTCCCTGGTTCCTTGTTCTAACAACTACATTTTTAATGCATTAATAAGTTAGAAATTTTACGCAGAACAAATTTTAAAATTAAAATAAATACTGACATAGGATTTCATCTGCAGTATAACAAAACAGATTCAAATATATATTAGCATTTGAGATGGAGCCTTCAGTAATAATATATTTGTAAAGACACAAATTAGTCATACATTTTTAATCACAGTACATTTATATTTTAAATTTAACCATCTAAATTGTTGCAATGATCGTGTAACAGAACACTTACGGTGTTAACTACTCTCAATCCTTTACTCGAATTAGATACGAAAATGTGCATGAATCTATTTTTAATCACATTACAACGGCACAAATCTTGTATTTTCCGAGTTCTATTTTACAGCCGGTCGTTACATAATGTTTTATGAGAAAAACATAGATAATTGTGGATTATCACTTTTAAATCTATGTTTCACCTTTTACATTTATCAGTTACTTTACAAGTCAACATAAATGTTATTTTAATTTTTCATCGGCTTCATACATTAGATGCAGGGGTGATATCTTTATAGGATGACAAAAAGGAACCAACAAACAATGATCAGTAGTTCTATTATTTCCAAGTTCTGGATCAGCGTGTTAATTCTACTCACATTGTGTCGGGAGAAGCAGCCTTATCCTCGGCAGGGAGGTCGATGGAAGGGTCTAGTTTCAGTTCCTTAGCAATATTAGTAAGATTTGCTAATAACGTCACAACCCGCAACAGAATATCTTCATTTGTTGAAGGATCTAACAAGTATATCAATCTCCGAGGAGCCTTAAAGAAAAAAGTAGAATGATTCCATCAATAAAATAGCATCCTGACATTATAACCTGGCCATGGAAGCGATACTTGTACATACAAAATAAAACAATTAACAGTGGTCAGAAATAGGATTCATATCATGAGATTTTAAGTTCTCACGGCAGCGAGTGCGAAGATGTCTGTCTTCTGGGTTGCGCCATGTGGTCTGGTAGAAGTTTACCATCGTTTCAGAGGTGCTTGCACGGCGCAACAACCCAGAAGACAGTCATCTCCTTTTATGACGACAAGTAACCGATACATCTAAAGTAAAAGGGTTAACTACATTTTGCCCTAATTATATATCGACGTAATCAAAATTTACCTCGGCCGCAAGCAAACTGGGAACCATATCTTCATTTGTTGAGAGATTTACCAAGAGCTTGAGTGTTTGTAATTTCACTTGAGGACTTCCAGAATCTATCATGTTGTACAGCGTGTGAAGGATCGGATAAAATTCATCGTGCCAATCTGGCAGTACGGCAATATTGCTCAGCGTGAGTAGAGCGCTGAGCAACACTTTCTCTGGCGTCTGCTGTTTGTTCACAAACGTCAGCAGCAGCGGTATTGCGTCCTGTAAATGCACAGAGTACGTTCAAACACGAGAATGAAAGCATCCTCAGTGGCAAACTTCCCCAAAACATAAAACATTAAAAGTTAAAGTAACTACATTTTGCCCTTTCAATTCACTGGCTGACAGATCATAAAACTACACGTACCTTGAGTTCCTTCTGATTTTCTTGGTTCAACGCAAGGTTCCCCAGAGCCTTAATTGCTGCGAGTTGAACGT